TCAGTACTAGAAGTAGCAGGGGTGGTAAAAGTGATTAATTAGCAGCCGGCCGGACAGAGTATCATTCTTAAGTTCCATCTCTAGACTGCACACTTTTCTGAGAAGGAACGTCTTCAGTTCTCGTTTCGCTCACAAGCAGAAATATTCTCCTATATCTGTGTTAGCGGCAAAGCTTCTCCAAATAGGATACTTATCTCTCTTCGGTTGGATAAGGCACTTGTGCTTCAGCAGAAATGCCAACACATGGATTTCGATCTCATAAACCTCATTCTTGTCGGAACCCTTTAGTTTGACAAAAGATAGACTCCTCCTGCTTGATTTTGTGAGCCGCCGGACGTTCGATTGGTGAAGGGTGATTAAGCACGCGCCAATCTGGGTTGCTTGCTTGACAAAAGAGAGACCAAGATGCAATGGACAAGCGTATAAGTGCCTACATTTTTACATTAAAAAACCAATGCGCACTACATGCCTTAGGAATTTTTGAACTAATATTGTAGGTATTTAGCAGCCAAATCGTTCATGCTTGGGCAAGCGGTGCGCATGTTCTGTGTTTAAGCCTTCGTAATTTTGCTGCAATTACTTGTGACTCACTCGTGTTGCACTTTTACTTACAACCAACTACTTGTCTGCTGTTACCCACTTACTTATAATTTAAGCGTCCAAGCTTTGCCCTTTTCACTCCTCTTAGCAACTTTTCATTGCAATAATATTCCATATCGCAGTTTTTCAGCGTTTTTTTTCGCAGATTTTGTATCTTTTTTTTTTTGGAAGGGCAATTCGCCATTGTCGTCACTTCACCTCTGGCTTTGCATAAGCTCGCGATCGACCGCACAAAAATTCTGCTAATAATATCAGCAAGCAGCAGTTAACTGCCAACAGTCAACATTGGCCGAAAACCACTTGGCTGACGAGTCCTACGGCTAACCAAACAACAACTGCAGAACCAGTCAACCGGCGAACCGGTCAGCCAGACTGCCATTCAGCCGTTACAACACCAATGTTGCACTTGTTCTTCACGTCGATCTCAATGCGATCGCTGACTGGTAGTTAGTTATCGCCGCGGTGTTGCAATCCTCGCCCAGTGATGCCAAACATTCTATGTTAAATTATTCGCTGAAATCGAAAAATATACCTCCATTACCTCCACGGAAATATAACATAACCATAGTGCTTACTTTCCTAAAATTCCTTTTTTTTATTTTCCTCAGTGTTACCGCATATTACTGGCGTTAACGTCCAAAGATAATTAATTTTGACTTCACACAAATCTGTATAAACATAATTACTGCAAGGGGGATAGAAATAATTTAATTTTGCAGCCTTGTTTAATTGTGTTACAAGAAAATCCCTTTTATATTTAAAACGTCCCTTTTAGCCTTCTAATAATTTGTGTTGCAAAATATGCCTCAAATAGCGGAATTACGCACAATCTGGCATCACTGTTCTCGCCATTCACACCTCACAACTTTGTCTGCTCTCGTTCGCGAAAAAGAACGAGCTTTTGCTTTATAACTGCGCACAACTTCAAAGAATTCGCAATAATATTTAAAAACTATTCAAAAGCTGCAAAGTTGCAATTTCAGCAGCCAGTAAAGCACCAGTTGATGCTACATAGTGACTGGGTGTCGATCTGCCGATCAATCGCGCGATCGATCGCTCGGTCCGTCTTCGCCATTGGCATATGTATACTGTAACAGTAGCAGCAGATGATGCATACGAACGGCTAAGGAAGGTATGGTAATGGCTGTCGCGCAGTAGATCATGGATGGATTGCCGTTGCTGCCGCTGCTGGTGTATTGGGCAAGTGCAAAAGGCGGTGTTAATCTGACCAACAGGCTCTAAATGCCAAATGCCTCCAATGCGATGACTAGCAGTTGAACTGGGTTTGTTGGTTGGGCCGCTGGATGCTTTTCTTAGCATTTTTAGTATTTAAATTGAAAATTCCTAATTTGCAATAGTCACAGTTGCGCTTAATTTGCACCTCTGTGCACTTCATGTACAAACGGCGCAAAGAAACTACCAAAAAAGGTGCATAAATAGTAATAACAACAACAATACTTCTGAATAACAACTGCGGCAAGCATGCCGGCTAGTCAACTGGTTGTTAAACCTGTTTCGACCTATAAGGTACACATAGCGCGAACGCAACAATTTGCAACATGTATGCATGTATGTGCATGCAATATATCGCACACCGTCTTCATAAAATACACAACTCAAAATTTATCATTTTTGAAATTATGCGGTGAAAATGTACAGTGACCTTTTATTTACCTTTCTGCCATGAAAATCAGCTGCTGATAAAAATACAATCGCCGTTCGGAGTCGGCGTAAAACAATAGGAAGGGACCTAAATCAAGGCGCCCGCCGAAAATCGGAGGAAAACATTTTATGTAACTGTCAAACTAGTATTATTGCGTACTTTTATATATATTTTTTAAAGTTTTTAGTTAAATTTAAATTTCATTACTTAATTTAATTTTATTTTATTTTACTTTATTTTATTTTATTTTATTTTATTTTATTTTATTTTGTTTTAATTTATTTTATTTTATTTTATTTTATTTTATTTTATTTTATTTTTTTTTTATATTTTTTTTTTATTTGATTTGATTTGATTTTATTTTATTTCATTTTATTTTATTTTAGCCGGAGAGAATTGTTATAATTTGTTAAAAGGTAAAGTCTCCCTTGCCCATATCGAGCCCTAACCGCGAAATTAATTAAGCGACATATTTTTCGAAAGTAGTTTTTTGATGTAGAATTGTTCTTAAACCCATAACAGGTCAACTGTTAAAAATTTGTATCGTCAATCGTCACAGTCACAGAGATATATGACTTAATTTTATCGTAAGCGACATCTGCTGTTTTGAGATACCGCAAAAATAACGTAAGCGACATGGAAGTTAGTAGTGACCTGTAAATACTGACTGTAAATATATATTTTTATACATTTATTTATGTTTTTATATATGTCAATGTGTACAAAAAAGAAAATAAAATAAGTTTTTTCAAAGTTTTTTTGGGGAAATTCAATTAACGTAAGCGCCAAATTTTTGCCTAGTAGCCTGCCATGGTGACAGCGAAATTAACGTAAGCGCCAAATTCACTAATTTCGCCTACAAATTAAGTTAAATGAAGATAAAAATTAGTCTATGACTTGTATTGAACCGGGCTTAGACTACATTAAGAATTTCAAAGATATTTTCCAAACGGATTAAGAAAAAAACAAAAAACGTCTCCTGTAAAATTTGCTTTTTGGCGGTTACGTTTTTTTCGCGGTTAGGGCTCGATATGACTATCATGTGCTAAGAAATAGTTTTTGGCATTTTCTGACGAACGTGTAATTTTGAGTTGTGCCTCATTTGAAGACGTTGTGCGATATGTATGTAAAAATAACCAAAGAAGGAAAATATCTAAAGTTTTTATAAAATTTATTTTGTGAATCCTTTTTCGTTTCGGGAGCACCCCACAATTTTTTTAAACTCGTTTTTATTATGTAACTTTTATTAACTGGAACAGGAGAATCGATTTTCTATCTTTAATATTTTTCTTAATTTTTTTTGTTTTAAATACTTTTTTTAGTGTACATTTTTATGATATGAATGATAAGAACTAGTACGTACGAAATTCTATACTTAATTTTTTTTTGTGCGAATGAATTATAATTTTGGCTAAGCTTTGTGTGAATATCATAATTGTGACCATTCATTGCTGTCAAAGTTATAAATATTGATGACTTTCTTAATGAGAAAGAGATCAGCAAATACTTAACCCCACTTTTCACGCCATACAATTTTTGAAATTTCTTTATGCTTCTAAATTAAACATGTGTTTTTAAAAAGGGGGAATCTATTTAATACATAGAGCGCGGCACCATTTACGAACTACGGCATGGCCATCATACTAGTTAAAACAAATTTAGTATGAATTTATGTTTGGGAAACTCGTTTGTGGGTTCAATGTACGCTAAATGAATTTGGCACAAGTACAAACTAGAAAATATAATAATTATCAGAAAAGAAGGAAAAAAAGTCAAACTCATTAGGCGCCGTTGCTTGCGACGAAATTCTCCCCATTCCAAATCGCACCGATCAGCGTTGCAAGCAATGTTCCACACTCAATCGTTAGTGGAGTAATAAAACAAAAACAAAAAGAGAATCGAAAACACTGCAGAATGTCGATCATAATTCATTAAAAGTTTGCGGCGAATAGGCGCACTAATCTACCAACGAGACCTGCAAATTCAACAACGATCTAGCAGTCCAATGCGTTGCTTGCTTCGCTTTCGTCTCCTGCGCATGCGCTTTTGATGATTAAGCTGCGCGCGCGTACGACAATCTAAAATTGTTGGCAATTTATGCAAAAATCACGTTTGAATTCGATTAAGATGCAGCGAATGAGTATAGTGGAAATAAAGGAAATTCGTTGCAAGCAAAATAATTTGCAGCGAAAGGAAATACATAAAGCCATCTTATGACTACATACATTCGTTCTTATGCTCGCTTTCAGCATCCATGGGGCATGCAAAAAGATTGTCGCCTGTGTTGTTGTTTTATTTTTTTTTTTATTTTAGTATATCGCTGCATGTTAAACACAAAATTTGCATTCGACTTGTCGCAGTGGGTTGCAATATTGATCGATAGTTTGTTGCATTCGACGCGACCTCAGCACGCTTTATGTGCCCCACCAATAGCATCGGCATCGGCATCAGCATCAGCATCAGCCTCTGCAAAAGCACCAACACTCTTTTTTTCGGACCATTTAGTTCGATAGTGTCGTTCGATTCATTTGCTATTCTAAGTGGTTCATTTGTTTTGCTGCTGGGATAGTTTCTTTATTTCCTATATCTAAGGATGTGTTTGTTCCTTAATGTGTTTTCATGTTGCACCAAATTGTTGCAATAAATTTAATAATCACTTTATGCCATTTGTTCTTAACAGTTTATTCTTTGCTTACTCAATTCATTCCTTTTCTTTTATTGTAAAATCTTTTTACAGTCTCGCGACGCTCCTTCTGATGAGGAAATGCGTGATTGTGATTCGATCGATGGTGATCATCATCATGTAATTCGTGCAACGCGTTTAAATGTCGCATCTTTGAGACGTAACCACAGCCACAGCAACAACAACAACAACAACAACAAAAATACTAATAATAATAATAACAATAACAATATTGGCGGTGGTGATATGAGTTTTGGTGGCAACGCCGGCAGTGCAAGTATCGGTGTTGGCAGTGGTATGGGTGTGCGTAGTCCCGATCGTCACGCTGATCTTCAAATGAGGTAAATTAGTTATTAGTTCGATACTGGTGGTGGTTGCAGAGTGCAGTTTGGCACTACATATTGGTGGACATATGACATTGAATTTTTGTTCTGTTTTTTTTTTATTATGTGCCTTTGCAGTCATCATCATCAGTTTCCTTCGAATCATCCGCTAAATGCGCTCGGTAATTTCATGGGCATTGGCGGTCTACATGGCATTCCAAATCTACAACACAATGATGTGTTAGAGAAGCTAAAGATGCAAGTTCGTGATATGAAAGTGGGTCTAATGGTAAGTGTTCCAGTAAACTAAGCAAGCAACAAACGACTGAGAATAAACTATGTTTACACATGGCAAATTTTGTCAACGCGACTCAGTTGATTTTTTGTCAGTTATGGGAGCACAAAGCGTGTTGCTCGACCACCGGAGAAATGCCGAGTGGAACAAGCTAGGTGGATAAGTTTCATTCCCGAAATTCAAGAAAAGAAAAAGAAACTTATCAACATTTTTGTATATTTATCGGAGGTATCTTGATTAAAAAAAATAATAAAAAAATTCGATTTGAAATGTTTTACAAGTAAAAATGCGTGCACTAAAAACTTGTTTAAAAAAGGCGAAGACTTGTTAAGGAATGAGTATACTGATTTCTTTTTAACTTAATTTTTCACAGGGTATAACTTTTTCGAACCTTTTTCTAAAACCAATTTAGCCTCGCTTTTGATCATCTGGTCAACCTGAAGATAAGCCCGCTATGTGACACTGCTGAATATCTATCGAGGTAAAATTTTCTGAGCCTTGACTCTAGAGCCCTAGTTCACATTTGGTTGTCTGAAAAGGGACGATACATGCGGTAGGGCTGGGACTATCCGTATATTGAGATATCTGTTCGTTTTTTTATCTGGATATCTGGTTAATATCCGTTTATTTAGTTAACCAGATATACGAATATTCCAAACAGTATTTTAGAGGATCGTAAAACTATTCTCAAAACTACTGAATCTATCGACCTCTAAAATAAACAATAGAACACTTTATTACTTAATCCAAAGCAATTGTTATTTTTTTGTTTTTTTTT